TGGTTGAAATGTGGCGAAACAAGTCCCTATACATCGTGTACTCAAGTATACAAATAATGTACAAAATATGCACCGATGTGCAATAGCACCTCCTACAATCTACATGTTACAGAAATCTATAGGACAGTTGGACTTGTAAGTTTGCCACGGTTACATGTTAACTATCCCCAAACGTTAATTCATTGAATACAATATTTATTTTTTCGGACATCGACATTTCTTTGTCTCTACTAAACAAAAATATACATTATGTAGGTACATAATTTGGTAATAATATTGGCTATTATTGCATAAAAATTAGTTGTGATATTACATGTTTTGCTGCAGTGCATTTATATTCAGGATAATAATTTTATTTGAAAGAGCAGTATCTAAGAAAATACAAGGAATTTAAAACACTTATTTTTAAATGCTTTATAGCATATGTATTACTATGATAATCAGTATTTGTTCTTAAAATGTTAAGAACACCTTATAAGTTCTAATTAGAAATAATTATACGTAGAGACGTAAGATAATATACGTGGTTCACAATAGAAAAATCAGAAATCACGTTGTATAAATGTTATAAGTTATAACTTATAAGTTATATTCGTAAATCATAATATAATACATACACATGCGACTCGTAGCGTTTATAATATAAATACATACATAGTAAATACAGTTTTTTCACAATATAGTGTATACTCATTCTGGCGGGGGCGGGTTTTTAAATTAGATTTATCCAATTATTTTAATCCCGTGCATGTATATATATATACATACACATCTGTCTCTTTAAAATGTTATATTATAACGTATTATGTAAATTCCATATTATGCACTAGTCTATATAATAGTCTAGTATACTTTGTTGCTCAGGAAAGCGTACATTTATTACATATAAATAGAGCAAACCTATATATATATTATTATAATATGCGTTGTACGCTTTAAGTGCATAAGTATATAATGCGAGTCGACAAACGCTTATATTATTATGATACTCGGACTTATTTAAATAAGAAACCTCAGCGCAATAAATAGAGGGATCGGAAAGCTCGAATACATTTATCGGCAGAATATACATATAATTATAATAGTGTTTAACGTTAATTTTTTTTTGTTATTCTCCGTCCACTATACATCGGTAATGACTGGAATGGAACTGACAGCACGACATAAAAAATTATTAGTTTATAATTATACCTATATGTGCCTATATATTATATAAATATAAATATAATATATAAAATGTGTTGAATAATAATATTATTAAGTCCTATTATAATATTGTATTATATATATTAGATATTATATATATATATATATTATGTAATTATATTGTATATGTTCTAAACGTTATAGGTCGGTGACGAGTACAATTGAATGAATATTGTGTTTGTGTATGCATCGAAATCTTCGTGAATCGTGATAAGGTACACCTATATATATGACAATACAGCGTTGTACCTATCTTTCAAAATTTTTATAATTGAATACAATATTATGAATGTTAAGAAATAAATTTCGTTTATTTATTAAAGTATCTGTTTTAAATGAAGAATTGTACTTTAAAAAAAACGTATAATATAATAAACTACGTTTATGAATGAGAAGAGTGTGTGTACCTATACTGCATAATATAGGTATTGTATTGTGTACACGGGGTGCATAAATAAAAAAAGTAATCGACAACGATTTTGAACACTAAAAAACGATTTAAATGTTAATTCAAACAACGCGATTGAAATATATGTTATTTTATAGGATACCTATGCCTGTTTATCGTGTGTGAGTTATTCGACGAATTGAAATACACGTATAATATGTATTTCTAAATGTTTTCTATAATCATAAAATCAAATCCTATTATTCATTTCCAAGTGAGTATTTTAACCCATACCAAACCCGAAATACCGAATGTACGCAGTCGAATGAATATTTTCATTATTATTATATTTGCCATTAGGTACATTATTTCGTTGGAAAACACGACCACGCGATGAAAAAATTTGAGTTATAAAGTCTGCAGAGTTCAGTAGGTATAAAATTTCACGGTACTCATTGATACTCACATAGTACATTATATCGTACAATGATAATTGTCACGGGCACCTATAATAATATTATATATTGTTAAACGCGCTGCTGCAGATGTGGCGAGCATTTTTGGCGCACAACAATTTTGCGACCGATTCAATTTTTTTCCGTCGTCTCGACCCTCTTCCACTGCCAGCATTATAGACTCGATTTTTTCTCGTCGGATCGTTTCACGTTTTTTCGTCTCGCTCGGTCACAGCGAGCGTACCTATAAGTCTGGTGCGGAGAGACCGCACTTGTCGACCTTTTCGGAATGCATGAACGGGCCTATTATACGTGTGTTATATCTATATACGATACACTGAATAGCAGCTCCCCGCCCCCGAAAAAAGAAAACGAACGTTCGGTGGTGTAATAATAATGATAATATAATATACACGCAGAGTGCAGACCGGGAAACATCGATGTTGCGCTGCACGACAGCGGCTGAGGCAGTAACTAGAGACGACATCGATGTTTTTCGTATCTGCCATTATATACACCTGTCCAGGGCCACACATACGTATACGAGATCACCCGACTCACACACACACACACACACACACATATATGTATATATGCATATCGTATACCTGTACACACGACGATATATAAATATACACGATGAGTGTATGCGGCGAGTGGTTGTAAGAATCGGTCCTGTGATGTTGCAGAGGGGGCAGTCGTTGGGAGGACGGTGGTGGGGACGGCGGCGCACAGACTCCTATAGCCGGGTACGAAACAGGTTTTGAACAAACAAGAAATAAAACATAAAAAAAAAAAGAATAAAAATAATAATGAGAAAGAGAACATAGCATAATACCTGCGCCTTGGGTATTTCTTCGAACTCTCTTTCACCTCTACCACGGGCCGCCGCCGCCGCCGACGCCGCCGCCGCCTCCGTGACGGTAGAACCGAATGGAGAGAAACACCTTATCTCCTCCCCACCGGCCTTTCCTTAATATAAAATATACCATATATATATATATAATGCGCGCGCGTGTGTGTGTGTGTGTGCGTGTGTGTGTGTGTGTGTGTGTTGTGTATACGTATACGCGGGGAATGTTTATACTCGTATAATAGGCATACACGAATATCGGATATACATTATGTGTATGGGTAGGTACGTCGAATATATATATATATATTATATAGTACGAGTAGCCGTATATAATATAATAATATAATAATATAATACGACTGTTTTTACTGCATCCGAGGCTGGAGAGCCTCCGCCGAGAAAATTATCGACGTGCCACTATATAGGTACTTCTATATAATAATAATATAATTTAATATAATGAACGAGCGGCGGCCTACTGGGACGACTTAACGGTTTGTAGCCTCGCGACTTTCGAGGCAATCGCCGCGTTTTATTCCTTCCGCGCTCACTGAACACCGAGTCATCGACAGGATGATCGTCTTTGACGACGACGACTCATCGACTCATCTTTATCCTTATACCGCCTTTTGTATTTCGCCTGTAAGGCTGTACCCGACCGTTTTGTCTGGAAGTAAGTGCCTAGTAATAGTTATGAGTTATGACGTATACATCACCGAATATTTACGACTGTAGGCGTGTATTTTCATTGATGTTTGTCGGCCGTCCAAATATGATGTACAATCCGTCATTCCGGTCGTCGAAAATCATGAAAATCGGACAACCGTCCCAATAATATTATTGTTGTTGTACGGGCGTCCGTCTTTTGCTCGCGCAGTCGAGAAAACCGTCGTAACGGTCGAGTCTCCGACCAGAGAAACGGCTTCCGATCGGACGATATTAATAATAAGAAAATATGCGTAGGTGCGGTACACACAGCGAATTAAATAATGTATACGGCAAGCGTATACTCGGCTACGAAATTGATTTCCCGAAGACGGGTATACATTTTATTGCCACATAAACAACGTTTTTGCACTCAACCGTGGCCTACAAGTCATTTAATAATAATAATAATAATAATAATTGATAGATGCTCCGCGGTCGTCGGTTAACGAACGAAAAACGGAACTATTTCGTTTCGTTCTTGCAGAATGTGTACGCATAATGTTATATTATGATATTATGCTTTCACGAGGATAATAATTTCTCACTAACGTTAGCGCAATATATTAAAATATTATTATAATACCCCTGTACGAGAAAACCGCTGCAAGTCGTTACGCGTCGGGTTGTTTAAAACAAAATTGTTTTGTATTCGCTCGCGTCGTCGTTATTATTATTACCATTATTATAATATGGTGTTATTAATCATTATCATTATACACATGTATAGGTACGTGCCCGGCGTGATGTATAATTAATATCATTATCCGCGTATTTCGAACACGCATGTGCATAATATATAATATACCAGGTGTACTTGTACATTAAAATAATATAATGTGTGCGTAGAGTCGTAGGTAAGGTAAATAATACGCTACTCGTGCGACACGCTCGTTTCGAAAAGCAGTCTCGGGCGATCTGCCGATACAGAACTCTTGCAGTCGCCAACCGTACACAATATAATGATATTTTAGTGTCATATCGGCCTTTTTGAGGAGAGGGGGGATTAGTTTTAATTAAATATCGTTTCGATCCAGAACCAAATCTCTTACCCCCTCAATAGAACACCACACAATATTATTATACTTGATTGTTTTCAGGTCTACGGCAGTGCTAATATAATATTATTGTTTTTCGTAAGCTTCGTCCTTAAACTATTTAGCCACGCGTTTGTTTAAACACTAATTTCTAAAAAGTTACATAAAACCAATAACTCAACAACTACGTGAAAAATAATATAATAATGAGCGTTGAGGTGTTTTATTTTGAGGACCCGTCAAATCACTCAAATGACAAGACCTCGGGAAACGAGAGAGTGATGCAAAATGAATCCCGGACGAAAAGTCCGGGGACAAAAAGTCCGGAATGAAAAAAGTTGGACTAAAAGTCCGGAATGAAAAAAGTTGGACTAAAAGTCCGGATTTATTTTTTGATTGCCGGACAAAAAATATACAAAAATATAACGGAAATCCACTATAGTTTGGTAGGTAGGTACCTATATGGCTATATCTATCTAATGTTTATCGCGGCAGTATGTCAACAGTTTATCTACCATACCTAACTCATAAGATTATACCTACATACTACAATAAGTAATAACGATAATCAATATTATTACCCCGATTATAATATATTATATAGGTACCTATATAGTATCATGTACATTTATCTCATCGATATAATCGATTTCATAAGGGACGTAGCGGACGTGAATTATAAATTGAATTTGTCACTTTGTCAGTATATCCCGAGACGCTATTTAGTTGAGATGGAGGTTGAAATGGAGGTTTTTGTAATAAAAGAAAATAAAAAAATTATATTTAACGGATATGCATATACGGTTCATCATAATCTAGTAACAAGTATTCGGTGGAAATGTTCCAATAAAATTTCAAAACAATGTCCGGGCATTTTAGTAACTTCCAATGGTAAGCTTAAAAAATTAAAAAAATTATATTTTATATTTTTAATAAAACACGTTTAAACATTTAATTAGATTATAAAAATCCAACAATTGAAGTTGAACATTCGCATGCTGGTGATGAGAATTTAGAAACAGTTGAAAAAGCCAAGGCTGAAATGTTAAAACGTGTTTCAACATTTTCAACGTCAACTCCTTCACAAATTTTCGCTGAAGTAATAAATCAGGTGCCAGAGCAGGCTTTAACATCTTTCGCAAATGAAGAAACAACCAAAAGAATGTTACGGCGTCAAAAAAATAAAGGTAATCCCAAAAAACCATCATGTTTGTCAGAACTTACAATTAATAATGAATGGGCAATGTACAAAGACGAACGATTTTTGCTTTTTGATAATGGTCCGGGATCGAATGAGCGAATAATAATTTTTTCATTGGATGAAGGATTAGTTCATTTATCAGAGGCAGATACATGGTTCTGCGATGGTAACTTTAAATTATGTCCCGAATTTTTTTTGCAATTATATGTCATTAGAGTTAAAAAGTATGACAAATTTATTACCCCAATATTTTGTTTACTTCAAAAAAAAACTCGTAGTACATATGAAGAAATGTTCACTGCAATATTCAATAAATGTTCCGAAAATAATGTTTATCCCGATCCTAAGATAATGAACATGGACTTTGAACAAGCTGTTATTCAAGCAGCAAAAACAGTAATTGGGGAACATTTGATAATACAAGGTTGTTTTTATCATTTGTGCCAAAGCACTCATAGAAAATTACAAGAGTTAGGATTACAAAATAAATACAATCATGACAACGTGTTTAGCCATTATTGTAGTATGATCGATGGCTTAGCTTTTTTGCCGGTGCAAAAAGTGATTGAAGGCATGAAGTACTTAAAATCAATTTGTGCACCCGATAATACGGATATAATTGATTATTTTGATTCCACATATGTTACTGGAACATATAGAAAAGTCGGGGTTTCAAAATTCAGACGGAATAAGCCATTGTACCCCCCTGAAACATGGAACGTACACGAGGCTACATTACACTCCAGACACCGTACAAATAATATTTGTGAAAGCTGGAACAATAGATTTGCGCATTTAATCGGGCATAGTCATCCAACAATTTGGAAGTTGATTAATAAATTTCGTGAGGAAGTGGGGGTAGATAAAGCTAAAATAGCATTACATGATATGGAACCAGTAAGAAAAAAAAAACACGGAACAGAAAAAAATGTAAAATTACAATATTTATGTAGGAAAATTGTTAATAACGAGTTAACAATAGCAGAATTTTTAAATAGGATTGGTCATTGCTTAAGAAAAAGGAATGTATTTTAAATTATTATTGTTATTATAAATGTAGACTAGATTTTTTATTATTGACATAGAAATTATTATTGTAGACTAGATTTTTTATTATTGACATAGAAATTATTATTGTAGACTAGATTTTTTAAAACTTATAACTTTTTAAAAAAATATTATTATTGTATTGACATCGACAATCATTTCTTAGGGAAACGTATTGTATATCAAATTATTATTATTATTATTATTATTATTGTATTGGCAAACGTAATGTTTATGAAAATTTAATTTGTAAGATTGCTGTAGGTAAGTATAATACAAATGTATATTACATGTATATAATATCTATATATAAAAAAAATATAACTAAAAATATTTATAATTATAACTTAAAAATAGTATTATATTATAATTAGGTATAAACTTAATAGACAATTTTGTATTTTCGGACTTTTTGTCCGACAGTAAAAATGTACTCGGACTTTTTGTCCGGCAATCAAAAAATAAATCCGGACTTTTAGTCCAACTTTTTTCATTCCGGACTTTTTGTCCCCGGACTTTTTGACCGATTACCATGCAAAATATACTTGGGTTGAATCGTTTCGTCGCCATGTACAATCGTATCTTAGTGAACCGAGGAGAAAAAAATGGTTTGATCGAAAATTCGACGGGCGAAAATGAAAAAGTCGCCGATGACCGCGTTTCCTTCACACTTTTCGTGATTGGCCATGAGAATAGATATACCATAAACAATAATCAATATAGACAGCAATTGTATCGATCGCACGATGATCAAGCGGTATACTCGCAAACCGCGATCATTTCCGTCGTCTGTCGGTCAGTCGATGTCTTCCACGAGTGTGTACTATTGAATAGTATGGTGTCTGATTATTAGGCGTCATTTGTCCTGCGGGCCGCCTCCCACGAGATGTGATATCTCTCGAACCGATGATTTCAAACGATTCTTTCTACAGTCAATTATCCGCTCATCATTCACTTTCTTTATAGCTCTCTTCCGACCAGATCTGACACGGTGCGAAATGTAATAAAATAAATACTTAGGCACATATTGTACACTGCAGTGTCATTCCATGTAAAACGTGTTAATTTCACTACCTATACAATATTCAAATTAATAACTACCCGAACAAGAGTTAATATTTCCACCCCTGTAATAGTGAGTGCCGCAGTGATTCTGGAAATTAAAACTACTCTGAAGACGACGGGACCTGGTGCTCGGTGTCCTGACTTCGGAGATCAATGTTACCAAATAAATATAAACATTATATAATAAACAGCATATTTTTTGTTCTATTAAAATATGATACGATACCGAGTACAATAAGTAATAATTATAAAGATACATTTGAAGAGGGTGAGCATCGTGAAGTTTTAGCACCTGGACCTCGAAATCGTAATTACGTGAAATGGTACATAATATCCATTGGCATTGTATAGTAAATAATATAGCATATACTGCAGGTGCGTTTATGTGAATAAAAATTCGTTAATAACGTTCAGTTGGTCAGTGATATCACTTCGCGTGGCATACAGCTGGTGAACTCCAGACACCTTATATACATAATATTACATTATTACACAGCATAATGTATATTAATAGCTGCACGCAATACGCCCGAACACCGCCCACTAAAGTACCGGGAGATTCACTATCTCCAACCATGAGCACCCTCATTTTTTTTACATTAATAATGAATATATTATTCAAATTCTGATTTTTGGAATTTATGAGTACACTTGAAGATTATATTTTCAAATATTAAAATTTTTTTATTTCATTTAAGAACACCTTGTAACTAACTTCTTTTTTTCAAAGAAGAACAACCTTTCTTTACCAAGTAACATATTAAGCAGATGATTTTTTTTTAAATTGATATATTAATTAAAGGGTTTTGAATTGAATTTTAAATAATTTTCAAATGTTTAGGTATATAAATCAAAATTCGAACTAGTTGTAGCTTTTGAGTTTCTAAAGTGTATGCACATGCACCTACTAAGGTCCAGGGATACAAGTCTGTGATCATGGGTTTAATGATATTGGAAGCATATGATGATTAGAAAATTATAGAAACGTCTTAGCAGAAGGTATATAGATGAATAAGAGGTCTTTAACTCAAAAATATTTTTAAATGTTTGTTGTATCTTAAATACTAGATTTAGATCGATTATAATAATTATTTATTGATTATACTAGATATTTATGGTAACACATATTTTAATTTTGTACTTCAAGTAAAACAAGTATAAATGATTATATTATCATTAGTACATACAATTTAATAACTCGCAAAAACTCATCTGTCAAATTGATTAAGATCCACAAATATTTTTAAAAAATCTTCTGCTGAAACAATTTATAGTAAAGGGAGGATGTAAAGATACTCATTTGAAAAAAAATAAGTTTATATGAAAAGTCCTAATACATTATGGTTTTAAGAAAACTAAAAATTTAAAGAACCGGAATTTGAATAACCTTATTATTAAAGGATAAAAGGGGCGGTTTTCAAACGTAGTGAATCCCCCTGAGTATATAATGGGTATATATACATAGTATACATTCGTATATAGTTATATTATATTGAATCATTAAACGATTTTAAACGGTCAAGCCCTGGATTCTGAGTTAACTTGTCACACACCACGCAATAACATATGCGTATTATACCGTCTCATAATATTAGAATGACGCGTACAGGTGGTAATTTAATTCTTCCGACATCATCGACCGCTGTGATAATACGTATAATATTATTGTTTCAGAACATAATATTATCGTCGTGCGTGCCCGCGGTTCACGTTTTAAAGAACGAACAACAACGATAAATAAAAAAAATGCCACCCGCTGTTTACGCATTTGAATATTATGAATAATATTATAATATATAGCTGGTACACAATAATATTATCGTGTACGTGAGTGTACAGTACGATGTGTAGGTACCTTATTCCTGCTATTTCCTGGCCGCGCGGGTACTTCCATCTCCGCCGTCGTCAAAATAAAAAGTCATCGTGTTATCAATATACTTTGTCGAACGGTGAGGAGACAGGCAATACACGCGAGAGATATATAATATACACAATATACATAACGTATTGTAAAAATCTCCGAAGAAATGTTTGTGTGTCGATCTTAGAGCTGAGACTATATCGATATAATACTAAACATCAAATTCCGACCGTAAAGCGTGTTTCTTCAGCATCAATAATTTTCTGCTACAGCGTACTAACGTTCTAGAATCTATAGATGATTCATACTATAGGTATCATTTATCTATTATTATAAATAATCGAAGCTGTCCCGATTGACTGACTGATTGACTGACCAACTTAGAGCCTAATAACTATGATATAGCTATAGAGACTTGAAATGTGTGTAGTACTTTCATACCATCATATGTCAGAGTGCACTGAGAAAGGATTTTTCAAAATTGGCATTTTGAAGAAGTGCACGAATGTCACACAAGAATTTTGAAATGCACGATGAAAATCCAAAAAATTATTATTGTTTATAAATATTTGCGATTGAACATTGCAGATTACAGATCATAATAGTAATAGTAGAAATACGTTTTTTGTTTTGATTGTTCATTCTGCCAATAATAGCTTGAAAATGTAACACTAGGTTCCTCAAGTAGTTGATATTGATTTCAATAAATCTAAAAAATGTATTTGCACAATTTTTTTTTATAGATATTTGAAGTCTAAATCAAAACGAAATTACAGTTATTTAAACATATTAAACGTGAAATACATTTCTTACAGCAATATAAATATATCATACAATATTTCAGAATCATTTTTGAGTGCAACGATTTATCGCTGAATTAAAATTTAACACACACCATCGCATTGACTTACTCAAAGACGAGGTACACTCTATAGTCTACATCAACTGTATACACAGTATATACATATAGCAGAGACGTTATACCTACTTTCCCCCTTTTTTTTGTTTATAATCAAGCTGTGCATGATGATTTTAAATAAAAATAAACAAATATATCATACTTTTATAATGTACAATACATATACGTTTCGTGTTTATAATAGTTTATTAAACATTGACGAACGTTTAATTGCCTCAACCAAAAAGCACGTGTACAATGAAGAGGAATAACGAAATAGTAGAATTTATTAAAAAAAAAAAAATGGTATTTTACTGTTTAAAATGTTCTAAGTTACTAAATCACTTTGTATAACCCAGCTAGGTGTTAATTGAAATAAATTATCTAAATTTTTTTTAGCCGAATATCGTTGTTATTTTTCTCCAAATTTACTTAAAAATGTTATAGTTAAATATATCATTTGTTACAGGACTATCCATTTATAAATAAACTATGGCATTTAAACGTTAACTGAACATTTTGTGAAAACCAAATAAATATGATTTCAAAGGTAAAATGTAGTAAGGACCTACGTTATGTAGAATATTGTTCGCATAAACGACAAATAAATACCTTAGAATCAAAGCCCGGCTTATGTCATTATGATTTTGTCTTGATCATGGCCGCACTCGTGATATATCAACGCCGCCGTACTATGTGTGCTGATTAACGAGGTATATCTAACAAACCTAGCATCTTAATTTTTTCTACTGGCTAAACCATAATAATAATAATAATAATAATAATAATAATAATAAGTAATCATACTACTACGAACTATTCATTACGCGTATGATTAACTGTAATATATAACATTTAATAACATGCTACCTATAATACTCGACCGATATAATATGATATACCTATTACATCCGTACTCGTTTCATACTTTGCGCGTTGTAAATACGTTTGCACGGGAACGGTGTGGTATACATTTTGTGTATAATTCGTACGTAATATCAATAATAATAATAATAATAATAATAATACAACGTTGTTAAAAAAACAAAAAACAAACTCATAATAAGGAAATATTAACCATTCAGTGATACTACAATGTAATACAAACACTGTATTATTAAAACTGATATTATTATGGAGTAATGATAATTACAACATTTTTAAGGTATATAATCTGGAAATGTGTAGGTACATAATAATATATTGAAAACCGAACAAATGTGTG